ACACACAAAKAATAAAAAATTACATATAAACAACCATAGATTCTCTGAATATGTTTTTTTTAGTTTTTCTTCATACAAACAAACTAAAAACAAAAAGAAGTATAAAAATATACAAAAACTCGAACCTAAAATCAAAAAACCTTTGAATAGCATAGAATCTAAAACCTTTGAACCAAAACATCTCGAACCCATATCTCCGATATCCTCGACCCTGATATCACTCTAAGCAGAATACAAAACTCTTTCTTTTTGAGTTAGTTTAGTTACAACAGTTATTGAAGGATTTTGGTATACAATATGTAACTCATGATTTACTATTTTGTGATGATAAATCAAGATCCCAAATAACATCAAACCYAGTATTTCATGAACGCACAAAACATATCGAGATCGACTATCAATTTATTAATTTCAATCTCAACATTTGTACGTAATACAAAACCCCTTTGAGTTCATTCACTACCTTTGTCACTAAGCACAAGTAGTTTGGGCTACGTCGTTTAGATGTTGAAATTTCATCCTTGTTTTAGGTGTATGTCTAATCGATTTATGCTTTTCTTTTACTCCATTTATTGATGCAATGCTCATTCCATAACTTTTATCTCATTTTTTTATTACTTTGTTCAGTTTCTGTCATGTTCAATCAACTCCAGGAGTAAACCTATGAGGTCTCAATGGGTCCCTTGCACCTAATCAATATATTTTTGCAAGTAGATTTTTTTTGTGCATGCTAAATCATGAGGGGTGCTCTCATATATTTTTGAAAATACAATGAACATCAACCAAAAAAACAGAAAAATTCCTCGAATTCAACCAAAAAATACTTATAAAATCCGTTGAAATCAACCAAAAAACTTATAAAATCTTTCAAAAATGGTGGAATTCAGCTAAAAARAGCATTRAATGACTTTGCAGACTTTTGATACAACTTAAAGGTGCACCTGCTATGCATAATCCTGGATCTACCGCTCATCAACTATAAGGATTCTCGAACCAGACTTGTTGCAATCTTTTTTCAGCTTTGGCACAATCAAGAGCTTGTTAGTTTCCTTGTAAAAATGGTAATGGACTCAATGGTTGTAATGTTTAATCAAGGTTGTTCTCTCTAGAACGTATTACAATGAGGTCTCTCTCTAGAATGTAACAAATGAATAACGCGTTCAGATYTTACTACAAACTAYCATTAACAAGTTATTTATATGATTGAGTAAACATACAAGTTAAACTACAAAGCAAACATGTAAACCAAACTAAAGGGCCATTTACTAAATGATTATCAGATTTTACTTATTTTAGTGGSTGAGTATAACAAGGACCAAGAATCTTACCAGATAAAAGGCATAGCAATGGTTTGAAAATCTTACTCGATAAAAGGCGTTAGAAGGATCGAGAATCTTACCCGATAAGCAAGGGAGAAAAATTTACCAATTAAACACTTATCATGTAAGAAATGTTTACCAAGAACCCATTCTGATGAYCGAGAATGTTACCTGATGAGGTAAGCGAGGGTGACAACTATTGTTAGTAAACGACTCGAAAACCACACAAACCCAATAAATTTACGYAGATGTAAGGTTCTTTGGCAATAATCTCATAAGCCCGGAGATAAAGGGTTCAAGTCTTATCATAGGTAAGAAATGTGTGTGAGTTTAATTCCAATATAATGTAAATATATACAAGTACATGGAAAAATAAAAATGCATTCCCAAAAACATATATAATTGTAACAGTTGAATTATAAGAGAAAAAAAATTCAATAAAATGTAGCGGCGAACAAAAAACCATCAACCTGTGAAACTCGTACAACCCAATCCGCTAACAACACAACTAACCCAACCCGTCAAACCGCTAATTAGGAGGGTTGAAATTGGGTTAGCCTAACTCAATCCAACCCAAACCACCAATATATATTATTTCAAAAAAATTATATATATGCAATTGTATGACGTCAATGATCTATATCCACTTTAGTATATGATTCTTTCTTGCATAGATGTTCATGAAGTTAGAAGCACAAATGTTTAGAAATTGCTTTATTTATATAAATTTTGGTTTTCATTGCATAAACGAACATATCCACGGAGGTTCAAATGCGATGACTCCGGGCTATCTGCAAAGCAGGTGGTCGCCCTGGAATTAGTCGGTTCGCATAGCGGATTGGATATCCAGGTTAATCAAAAAAATGTTTGTTTTCTTATTGCATGAAGAAATCTCATGTGTTTCTTGTAGGTTGTAACTTCGCTTTTTTTTTTTTATCCTATTTCCTATGTATTGGAGCAATGAAAAATACTTCTATGTCTCCAAAAATCAAGGACGATGATAAACCAAACACGTCTAAGAACCTTAAACGTTTGGGATCACTTTTCAAAAAAGAACTCTGGATGTGTTTGAAATTATTATGGAAAAGATTATGCTTATTATAGCACGAGAATTGGTACAAGTTCTTTGTGGAATCACTTATGAAACCAATGTAGGTGTGTGATGAAATACAAAAATTTCTTAGCTTTCATACAAGCAATGATAATGAGGTGTCATTTAACAAATAAAATGTCGAACAGTTGTGGCTAGGATTGTGGTTAAGGATGAGTAATACTTTAGTGTTGTAGAGGAGAAGGATTTAGAGAACTTATTAAATAGTTGMAACATAAATTTGGTATCCCTAGTAGAGTTGAATTTTGGGAGACATATCTATTGGTTGTTCTGTGATGAGATGATTGAATTGAAAAAAGAGCGAACAAAGGTCGAACAAATATATATATATATATATATATATATATTTGAATTGGATGTTATCACTCAGAATTTTGAAGTTTAAGGGGCTGTTTGTTTACCTTTTAATAATTTCATTAAGAGATAGTCTCTGAATTGCTAAAAGATGATTTTTTTTGGCAAAAAAAATCTGTTTTTTAATGATTCTAAAACCCTATGAATGATTTTGTATTTTGGCTCTTCAATAACCATTTAATGCCCTAATTTCATTTTGAACAGTTACCAAACAATTATATTTCWTTTTGCACTATATCATAAAAGTCACTTAATCATTCTGACCACTTAATTATTCTATACCACAACATTCAACAACTGTCAAATAGCTCCTAATTCTAAAACTTATATGATTTTAATATATATATATATATATATATATATGGACTGGTTCAGATGTTACCCAAGTTTATTGTGTTAATTTTGTTAACCAATCTTGGCCATTGATTCTTACAATGAACGATTGTAATTTATCATATTAAAAATTTAATTTTTTAAATTTACAATTTTACAAACATATGTGAACTAAGTGGAAAAGGGTATGTATGTGATTTTCTTTTTTATGTAACTCCCATCATTAATTGGGAGTTACAAAAATCAAAAAATATCATGATTTTTGTTAATGTAAGAACCATATGAACACACACACACACACACACATATATATATATATATATGAATCATTGTGTTAAATACGAACAACAATTGATATATATATATATATATATATATATATATATATGAACTTGGACTGAATAGTATTTATGAACATAATAAGAATAGCTGCTACACGAAATAAAATAAATAAAAAACAGGTATTAACACAATATGAACAACTTGTGAACAATAGTTCATTCATTATGAACACATTCAAGAGCGAGCCAATGTTGAAATATGCAGCTAGTATACATATGAACACTTGTGAACAATAGTTCTTTCATTATGAATACATTCAGGAGCGAACCAATGTTGAGATATGCACCTAGCGTACATATGATCATTTGTGAACAATAGTTCCTTCATTATGAACACATTCAAGAGCGAACCAATGTTGAGATATGCACTTAATGTACATATAAACACAATATGAACAGCTTGTGAACAATTGTTCATTCATTATGAACACATTCAGTAGCAAGCCAATTTGAGATATGCATCTAGTGTACATATGAACACAATATGAACACTTGTGAACAATAGTTYCTTCATTATGAACAATGAGTTTATCCATAATAGTTTGAACGATACCGAAAACTTTACTACCGGGTTTTCTCTACCAATCACAAATTCAAAAACATTATAGATAGAAAAATCAATATTATAAAAAAAATCAATAGTAAATTAACAAAAATCATGAGATTTTTTGATTTTGTAACTCCCAATTAATGATATGGGAGTTACATATAAAAGAAACTTACATATTTACCTTTGTCATTAAATTACAAGATGAATATGAACATACATATAATATGGATTGCCATTGGTTGAAAATGGTTAACAAAGTTAACACAATAAACTTGGTTAACATTTGAACCAGACACATTCTCTCTCTTTCTATAAATATATATATATATATATATATATATGATTGTAATAAACAATAACTTTATTAGGTATACTTTTAGTATTATTTATCGTATTTCATCGTCTAACCTTATGCATATTACTAACCCGTCAATCCCTCCTAACCCATAAGAGTTGGATTGGGTTGGCGTATACTTTTGATTGAGTTGAGTTGAAAATTTTCAAACCGTTAATTGGATTGGTTGTAAAAATGTTAAAAACCACCCAACCCTGACCACATGCACTATGATAAAACCCCCGATAAAATGTACCTATTTTGTCCATGAAATTAGAGGTGTGCAGAAAATCAACCAATCCAATTAGAACTGACCGACCATAAATAGATATCCAATTGTAATTGGATCTGATCGGATTAAAATTTTCGACATTCAATTTGGATCGATTGGTTCTCGGAAGGCAATCCAAAACCGAATCGATGAACATCCAATTAATCATTCGATGACCATTGAGTTATTCATCAAACCATTATCCAACTATTATTCAATTAATTTATTTTTAAATTGTTTAAATTATATAATTTGTTMACACATTTTCCATGCACATGTCGAAATCACAAGGCTTCTCTAGAACMCTCCACTTCCTTCCATCTTCTTCCTATTGCCCATGATTTCTCAATTCTTCCATAGTTTCTCCATACTACTACTACTTAAAACCCCTTCCAGCTCACTACCACACACACTGATCGCCTATAACATTCTTGATTCCAATCACCAAGATTCATTCAAATGTCTGCAACAACTTTCTCCCCTTCGTGTTCCTTCAAACCCYACATCATCAATCGTAATTCTAATTCCTTTTCGTCGTCAAAAACGTCTTTCTTCGGCAAACCCACATCAAATTGCAAGAGATCATGGGTATTGAGACCTCAAAAACGACGTGCTTTAAAGGTCGTGAGCGAGAAGGTGGTGGGAATTGATCTGGGTACGACGAATTCGGCGGTGGCGGCGATGGAAGGAGGGCAACCWACCATAATCACGAACGCGGAAGGGCAGAGAACGACGCCATCGGTGGTAGCGTACAGTAAGAACGGCGATAGGTTAGTTGGTCAGATTGCGAAGCGGCAGGCGGTGGTGAATCCGGAGAATACGTTTTTCTCGGTAAAGAGGTTTATAGGGAGGAAGATGATGGAGGTGGATGAAGAATCGAAGCAGGTTTCTTATAAGGTTATAAGAGACGATAATGGGAATGTCAAGTTAGATTGTCCTGCTATTGGTAAACAATTTKCCCCTGAAGAGATTTCAGCACAGGTATCACCGTTTCAATTCATCTTCATCCTCTCTTTCTGTGAATCATTTATTTCAATTGAATTCATCTTTTCAACCAGCGAATTAGAKATTTGTGTACCTGTTTTAGTCTTAGGGCCTGTTAAATGGATAAAGCTATGTGTGGATTAAGGGACAAACAGCTTAATTAGCTTAATAATACTGCAGCTTATTCGTTCAGCTATACATGACTGATTTGGTAGTGGTTTAATGGTTTAGGAAGTGCTTATTTATTAAAAAGCTTTACTTAGAAAGCTAAGTTTTGATTTTTCCTAAACCTGCCCCTTCTAAAGAAAACATGATCCCCTTCCAAACAAAAACTTTCATAATCTATAGACCCATTAATCCTGAAAAACGAACCAAACAACCTATAAGAGGGTTTTTGTCTTGGATGTTTTTTTCATAGATGAAAGTAAAGCCTGGCTTTTTGAGCTTATTGAAAAAGTCATTTTTGATATCTATCAAACCACTACCAAACTGTTACTAACAAACCGGCCCACACTACATCATTCAAGGATTGATCACTGTAAATTGTCAGCACTATGACTTCAATTTTGATTTCAAATTTGAAAGATACAAAACAAAAAATCCACGATTCTAATGTCCTAATAGCAGTTTGCAGGGTTTGATTTGAGTCTTCTTAATGAGTTCATGTTAATTTTGTGCTTATATTGCATTTTAGGTTCTGCGGAAGCTTGTGGATGATGCATCTAAGTTTTTAAGTGATAAGGTTACTAAAGCAGTGGTAACAGTGCCTGCATATTTTAATGATTCACAAAGAACTGCAACGAAAGATGCTGGACGCATCGCGGGTATTGAAGTTCTTCGCATTATCAATGAACCAACTGCTGCTTCATTGGCTTATGGTTTTGAGAAGAAAAGCAATGAAACGATTCTAGTGTTTGATCTTGGTGGTGGTACTTTCGATGTATCAGGTATGGTCCCCTTGTGTCCATCTCTATTTGTCCTAAAAGACTTTTGCTCTTTCGCCCCACGGATATGTTTCTTGTATAAACTAGACATGTTTATAGAACGAATAAATTGTTTACTGTGAGCTGATAAAGGCCATGTTTGGCATCCATAAGATAGTTTATTTGTTGGGCTTATTGAAAAAGMCTCATTTGTTCAACCATAAGCTAGCTTTTACGTAGTTTTATACGGATACTGCCAGGAGATAAGAGTCAAAATTGAAGTGAAGGGATATCTATATAATCCGATAGATTGCGTAAACCCACGGTTCTTTCCCCCGATTCCGCTACTAAGAAAGAGATTCACTTTTCTAGTTAAATTCAAGAAAAGTTCTTACGAATACAAACACTAAGTTAGGTGGGTTTTTTTTTTTCCCCAATTATGCTCGTTATATTTTCCCAATTCATTTTTCAACATTTTCTTTTCGATCATTTTATAGTCATGTAGCTGGTTTTATTATTAACAAACTTTTTATCATTAACAGTCAGCAACTACCTTATCCGCCARACAACCAACTCTTCAGTTAGTTTGCCAAACATTAACTAAACTAGACATGTTTGGTAGTAACTAGCTGATAAGTTAAATGAAAATGTAAAATGATCTAAAAGAACWTGTTGGAACATTAATTGGAAAAATATTAGCGGTATAATCTAAAGAAAGTGGAAAAAGCCCTAGAGCTTATTGATACGAGTAGCTTATAAAAAAGCTAGCAATGAGGACTTCTTCAATGAACTCAAAAAATAAGTTAGGTTATTGTTGCCAAACATGGCCTTAAGATGGTAGAGAAGGGAAGTATTGCTATGTAGCCCCCCCTTGCATATTGTGAAGACACTGGTTCTTGATCCCAAGACATACCATCCACAAATGGCCACTGCTCCAAAGGCTTGCACTTGGGCATTCGTTTTAYCGACATTCAGATTAATCTTCTGCTATGCAGTTCTTGAGGTTGGCGATGGAGTCTTTGAGGTACTGTCAACTTCAGGAGATACCCATTTAGGTGGAGACGACTTTGATAAGGTTGGGACTGTTCATATGCTTATAGAAGCCAAATTTTGAGCCTTTTTTCTTGACATTTAATCAAGATGCTGAACAGCTTTAATATGTTWTTTGTGATTTGAACAGAGAATTGTTGATTGGCTTGCGGAAGCTTTCAAGAGGGATGAGGGCATTGATCTTCTYAAGGATAAGCAAGCTCTTCAACGCCTGACGGAGACTGCTGAGAAAGCAAAGATGGAGCTATCTACTTTGACCCAAACTAACATCAGGTATGCCCTTTTCAGTTCACATTGTTTTCTTTCTTTTTCTACCTAACCAAGATTCTTCTTTCATGTTTGGTGATGATAGATGCTTTTTTTTTTGCAGTTTACCTTTCATTACGGCAACAGCAGATGGCCCAAAACATATTGATACTACATTAACCAGAGTGAAGTTCGAGGAGTTGTGCTCAGATTTACTTGACAGGTACTTCTATATGTTCGAGTGTGGAATTTCTTTTTCTCTTTCTAGAAGAACCCTTACAGAAAGAGAAGAGGTTCTTACATGTATACATACGTGTGTGTATATATATATATATATAGATATATTGATGGAGGATGAGGAGAGAACCTTAAAACAACGGAGAACTGAAGAACTTATCCAAGCCGTTAGATTGATTGAACCAAGGAATGTGATTAAATTGGTGGTTACAACTTCATTTTTAAATTAAAAAACCTCTCCCCTTATTTTTCTTAAATCGAGAATAAAACGAATGATAATCATAATTGAAGTGAAACAAATTACACCAGAAATTTATCACATTTTATTCTCTTTAATTTGACATCCATATGGATGTACTTTTCCATCCATTTTGTGGTTCTTTGGTTCTCCTTTTCTGATGTTCTATGTGAATCATCAACCCCATAGGGGGGGGGGGGGCAGGGGTTGATGGCTCTTTTCTCCGATGTGGGACTCCAACAAAAGTATTTTGTGTTCAGTTGATGACTTGTTATTGTTGCCATTATGGATCTGTCACTCTGGATTGCCTCTTCAAGATGATGACTTTCGAGCTTCAATTTGTGACTCTGTTTGCCGTAGGCTTCGAACGCCTGTTGAAACCGCTTTAAAGGATGCAAATCTCTCTCTTAAAGATATTGATGAAGTGGTCCTTGTTGGTGGATCAACACGTATCCCTGCTGTACAGGAGCTCGTTAAAAAAATGACGGCTAAAGAACCAAATGTCACAGTCAATCCAGATGAAGTTGTTGCTCTTGGAGCTTCRGTGCAGGTTTGTTGTCCTATCTCTTATTTTATTTCCAAGAACARTAAGGAAGATCATGGTGGTTGTCTGTCTACTGCTTACCTGCTAGCTTGTCGGATTATTTGTTTATCACCGATTCACCGTTTTACATGGGACGGGACAGGACAGGACGGGACGAAACCCATTGTCCCATGTTTGGTGCAGCATGGGACGGAACAAGAACTCACTGTCCCACGTTTGGCACGACATGGGACAGGGACAAGAACTGGGACAAGGTGGAACAACATGGGACAAAAGAGGTGTTTTCTTGTTCCACCAAAATAGGTGGAACAAGATGGGACAAAAATGGGACATAAACTAAATATTACTAATCCACCCTAGTTTGATATATAACCTTAATATGAYATTTGTTTTAATGGTCATCACCGCTAGTTTCGGCCACCACCACCACTACCAACGGTCACCGGCGGCCACCTCCACCTCCACCTCCTCTTCCACTACAACTACATCCCCCACCACCTCCACAACCACCGTCCACCAAGTCCATTGCCACCTCTACCATAGTCGACAACCGACCACCACCGTTCATTGCCACCACCACTACCGTCGTTCGCCACCTTCAACTCCTCTATTGCAACCTCCTCCACGACCACCATCGACCACCACCATTCATTGCCACCTCACCTCCACCATAACCACCACCACCACTATCTTCACTACATCAACCACAACTACCATCTTCATGTCCTCTATAACCGCCACCACCACCACAACTACCACCATTGTCAACCGCCATCACCACCACAATCTACCATCTTCATGTCCTCTATAACCACTGTCGGCCACCAACCACCACCGCCCGTTGCCACTACTACCGTCGGCCACCACCTCCGCCACCACTACTACCATCATTTATATCAAAATTTTCGTTCATATTTGGTACAAATATGAAAATTATGTACAAATATTTATTCTTTAATTATTCACTTTATTTGTGTTAATTGTAACTATTATATAATATTTAAAATCATCAAATAACTTTTGGGGTAGCCTGTCTAGTTCTGTCCCGTGCAGTCYTAATCGTACCAAACACGAGACATACTCCTGTTATGTTAAGTCCTGTCCCGTCCAGTCCTACTGTCCTGTCCAGTTCAGTCCTGTCAAATAAGCTTTTGATGATTCCGGCTGCGTTTCGAAAACTAGCCGATAAGCTAGTTGCCATTGGCTGATATGCTAGCTGTTAGTTGAAGCGTGAAAGCTAGCTGATAAACTAGTCATGTTCAGTAAAAGCTAGCTGAGAAGGTAGATGACAAGGCAAAATGACCTACAAGGACAAGTTGAAAAATTAATTGGAAAAAATATAGGGGCATAACTAAAAAAGAGTGGAAAAAGGACTTTGGAGCTTGTTGAAATGTTACTTGAAGTAGCTTTTCAAAAAGCTAGCTAACCAAACGGAGTTTTTTCAGTAAGTTTAAARAATATGCTAGCTTATGGTTGTCMAAGGGTTGATTGACCCAATGGTACCAATGTTACTGGAAGAGCCCAGTCTCGAAAGAGGTCAAGGTTCAAACCTCAACAAAGGTAGGGAATATGGTGGAGTATTTCCRTATATAAATATTATATACATTYAAAAGAAAGGTCCTGAAATTKGAACTTGTTTGCTGGCAAAAAACATGAAGCAGCTYCATCTAAGAACTTTTAAAACCTCGAGCTCGAGGGCRTAGTTATCCAATACAGGGCAGGTTCTTACGCGTTACTYACCCGTCCGCCACTGGAAAYACCACTTCCCGTCCGACTTGCATGGCTTTTGTGTGCTCAAATATATCGTGTTTTCGTATTTTTAGGCTGGTGTTTTGTCGGGAGATGTGAGCAACATCGTACTATTGGATGTCACGCCTCTATCATTGGGCTTAGAAACTTTAGGAGGTGTGATGACGAAGATCATTCCAAGGAATACRACACTGCCAACCTCCAAATCAGAAGTTTTCTCGACCGCAGCTGACGGGCAAACAAGTGTGGAAATCAAYGTTCTACAAGGTGAAAGAGAGTTTGTGCGTGACAACAAATCTCTCGGAAGCTTCCGATTGGATGGTATCCCGCCAGCACCACGCGGGGTTCCTCAAATCGAGGTCAAATTTGATATTGATGCCAATGGCATCCTTTCGGTCACAGCTGTGGATAAAGGGACCGGAAAGAAGCAAGACATCACAATCACGGGTGCTAGCACATTGCCATCAGATGAGGTTTGTTTCTCTTTCTTGCAATTCGCACTACAACAAAACCGGGTTTATAGGATGCTGAATATGCCTRATAGACCGCTTTATAGGTCTTAYGATTATAGAACCAACAATTGTGCCTCATAAGTAAAAGTGTTAAAATAAGTTGATAGGACTTTTTSGGTGTCATGACAAGATTTTTGGGACACTTACATAATAGTGTCTTTTTGGTTTTTCTACAGGACACTTCTAAGAACTCAGTTTTTTACAAGACAACTTTTTCAAGTAATGTCATCAAAAAAGACTAATAGGACACGTAATTTTATAAGTGTCCTAAAAAAATTTGTTAGGATGCCCAAACACATTCCACCAACTTATTGTAACACTTTTACATGGGGGACATAGTTGTTTCTGGTCCTATGAAGCATTCAATAAGGACATGTAGACATTTTTCTTTGTCAAAGGTGCACGGACCAGTTTGCGTGCACCTCGACTAATCCCAAGAGGACCTGGAAAACAGCATTAAAGTCTTCTTTGGCCATGGAACTGGTGACCTATGAGGAGTCCTAAAGGCCCAATTCTTTACTGCTGAGTGAGCTAACCCCTCAATGTTATGTTTAGACATATTTGATGTCCTGTAAAGCAGATTTTTGTTGTAGTGCTGAATGTTGTTCTTTATTAGAACAAGAGATTTTRGAATTATAAGATTGGAATTCTGTTGTAGGTGGAGAGGATGGTGGCAGAAGCAGAACGGTTTGCCAAGGAGGACAAGGAGAAGAGGGATGCCATTGATACGAAGAACCAGGCTGAATCGGTGGTGTACCAATGTGAAAAGCAGCTGAAGGAAGTCGGAGAAAAGGTTGCAGGTCCGGTGAAAGAGAAGGTGGAGGCCAAGCTGAAAGAGCTTAAAGAAGCTATTTCTGGTGGGTCAACTCAAACCATCAAGGATGCCATGGCTGCATTGAACCAAGAGATGATGCAATTGGGTCAGTCTCTTTACAGCCAAGCMGCAGGTGGTGGTGATGGTGGTGAAGGAGGTGGTAAGGCTTCTGGTGGTAATGGTGGAGGAGATGGTGAAGTTATTGATGCTGATTTCAGTGAGAGCAAGTGAATGTGAGGTTGGAAGAGAGGGGTTTAGCTTTTAGTTGATTGGCTCTGTTTTTCTTGGTATGTTACTGTGTAAATATGTACAGTTTCTAGCTACATTTTTAACTAATATCATAAACAAWATGCAAACTAAGATCATTCAATTTCTCTCACAAAAAGCACAAAGAAACACAAATTAATTTCTTCATACATGAATATGTTGAACATCAAAGGTTTGCTAGTTGTTGAATGTTGATGGGRTAAACAACATCAGGAGTTCCACTGAAGGCYTTCCTTCCCATCAACACATTCACAGCTTCTGTTGGATGAAATGCATCCCAAAAAACATACTCGTTGCGGTTTGGACACGGCGTTTGTAACGGTAAACATGTTATCTGACCTCTATTTCTTCCTATCCCGCAACACCCTCTATTCACCACGCGAAAACCTGCATCCATYGTCAAGATTTTAGATAACTTTRCCCTTGTAAGACGTKAASTACAACAAAATGGGTATTTTAGGACGTACAWGCATCCTAGGACAACAACAAATGGGTATTTTAAAATCAGGGTCATGTCGGAAGGCGTTACAGTAAATTGTTAAGACGAAGCTTGTCCTATTAGATTGTYCAACTTCGTCGATGGAACTTGTTAGATTGCCTAACATCATCCTAACAACTTAAAGTAACGCCTTTAGTATCTAGTGTACTATGATAGATTGGTGTACTAAAAGACCAGTTTTGTTGTAGTGGTGGAAAGAAAACGTTAGATTGAATGTGGTCATGCATGATACCATAAAATCTAGCGTTTGCGAGGATATCTTGGAACATGTTATGAACGTCAATGAAAACGAATTTGGAACCAGGGAGATTGACGCTTAGATTGTTGATCATCGTCTTCATGTTTGCATTGAAAGGAAGAACGAGCTGGTTCACTTCATCGGAGCATCTTCCTGTCGTACCTTGWGCCAAAATGCTTGGAATACAACCCATAAGCCCGATCCCTGCTAGAACAAACTTTCGGGCTCCAAGATTGTAAAGTTGCTGTATATTCAACACAACAACATGAATCGCTCAACATATAGTTTCCTTCTTTAAGAGATCCAATAATTATCACAAACATTCTATATGAAACAACATATATAAAAATGCAGTATTTATACAATATTGTATCTGAAACTTACGCGAAGCTGAGTGGTGTATTCTTGGGACAATAGATCAGCGTATTGGTTGCCATCGTACTGGTTGCGAGTCGGGTAATTGGGCATAAGATAGTTGTTTAGATAGTCGTTACTACCCATTCCTACGAAGAAAATGCATCGAGCTAGCGCCTGACTAATATCGGGTGACCCCAACGCATYGCTTAGTTGATCCAAACTATTTTCGAAGTTCTTTATCTGTTGATTGAACGGAATTCGACCCACCTACACCCCAGAGTTATACAATTAATACTACCACCACTTTTACACAATATTGCTAAAATTACCATCAATTATTAAGGTTATCTTCATGAATAACATATTTTAGCCACCTGCAAATTTTTCCTCACGAAAATGCCAAGAAAWCGTTATTCAACATCACAAGTTACTTTTCCTTATGCTTTCTGAAAGTTTCTTACGTATCCAGATGAAAAGTAGGTCCACCGCAAAAATAAATTGAGACMCCCGTAGCTTGTGGCACCGCAAAGACATGGGTCGACACACAAAAAGCAGCAATTAAAAGCTGCAACTTGTCGCACCGCAAGAAAAAGTGTGGGGCAAATTTGACTTGCGGTTTCTKGGCTATTTTGTGAGGAAAAATTTGGAGATGATAAAAGTTTTATGTGGTTATTTACCGTGATAACCCTGATAATGATCGAAACCTAGGTGTGTACGATTGAATTCTACTACCTTAAAGTTGCTAGCTTGAACCTAGTATATAGCTCAAAGAAACTACATGCATGAAAGTTGAACTTACAAAATTCCGGCCAGTGATATCGAGAATTCCGGCGGCAGCAGAAGCGAAATTGACACCATGCAGCATTTGATCTGCTGAATTTGATGCTTGCGAATAGGCTGGTATCAGTGGCAGTCCCAGTAGTTCCGCTACATTAATTCATATTTAAACACTTCAATTTGTAGATATATATACTCTTAATTAAAGAAACATATATATATATATATAGAGAGAGAGAGAGAGAGAGAGAGAGAATACCTATGGCATCAACCATGGTATAACCATTAGAGAATCGGCCGGTAGGACCTCCATTAAAGTCGATGCCATAAGGGTAATAGTTCGCTTTAGCTAAAGAAGCCAAGTCATTGTTGTTTCCATTATCAATGAGTGAGTCTCCAAATATGAACATCGCCGGCACCATCTCCGCGTTCGCTGCTGCAACTTGTGCTTCCGGCGCAGATGCATCAAAAACACCACCACCACCACTGTCTTCATCACTTTGTCCACAGACTACGGCACCACCACTCAACAAGATACCAACCACCACCATCCATAATAACCTGCAACTAAGCCTCCTYCTTCCTTCATCACCATCCATACTCATTTGCTACTTTTTTCTGTGTCAGTTGTGAGAAAGAGGAAGTGGATTGGATTCAGAAAAAAGTTGGCAGAAGGAGTAAATAATASAGGGAAGTTAGCGGTGGTTGGAGGGTAGTAAATGTATTCACCTGTGAATTTTGAATAGGAGTAATAAGTATGGCCGGCCTGCAACTTCTTCACTTATCCCTCCATTCTTGATTAGGTCTGTGGTGTAAGTACAAGTTGTTTTTTGTGTACCCGCCCATGCACCCAATAGCTGTTTTTTTTGTTTTCTAAGAATTCCTTGAGTAGTTTTATCCGCGGCTTTTTCCGTCAGGAGTTTTTGACAGGATTTGTGGCGGATTACTGACGGATTTTCAGACGGCAGGTAAATCACAATTATCGGTCATACTTTCTCCGACAATGAGATTCGTCGGTGATGATTTTTTTGCAGCTATTACAAAAAGATTTTCCGTAGATGAAGTATCTTTCGGGCCTTGGTAGTTTCGTTTTTGTTGTATAGTTTTTCTATAGTTTGTTCTCTTTCAGTCTAATATACTTATAATTGATTTAACCGATCGAATAACACCTCGTTATAGAATTATAGCAATTATATAAGTTTTTTAGGGTTTATACAACATATATTAAATTTTATTACTCTTTTTTGGTAAATTTAGAGTGGTTGGGTGAAAGTGAAGGTATATGGGGGAGATGCAATAAAAAGCATTGGGAATGTAAATGAAGAGGGGAATTGCATGTTGATCTCAATACGGAAGGAAGTTGCATGTGAACCCTGCCCCATCTCATTACTATTGTTATCATCATATCATGTGTGTGGCCATTTAATACTTATAAAAACCAATACATTGTTGTTGATTTTAGTTATAATATATATATATATATATATAGATAGATAACTTGGTTCAAATGTTAACCAAAATTATTATGTTAATTTTATTAATCAAGCTTAACGAATAAAAATCCATCTTTTATCTAGGTTCATATTCATCTCATAATTTAATGACAAGAACTCCCATATCATTAATTGAGAGTTAAAAAATCAAAAAAATCAAAAAAATCTCATAATTGTTGTTGATTTACTATTGATCTTGTTTTTCTATAATATTGATTTATCTATCTATAATGTTCTTGAATTTGTGATTGTTAAAGGAGACACGAAAGGAAAGTTCTCGATATCGTTCAAGCTAATATGGATAAACCCATTGGAAAACAACTCAACAACAATGAGAAGGTTAAAATGGTTTACGATGACAATCGGAGTTCGAGTTCCGGAAGTGAAGATAATAATCAAAGCATTTTGTTGGTCCCTTGAGGGTCTACAAGAATAGTAAAACAGTTTGTAGAAGGAGGGGTGAATACAAACACAATATTTTCAAATTTAAAATATATATTGATAAAGAAGATCAATACAGATTTTACAAGATTGTTTGC